ACGAGCTCTCTGCGGGGAGAGGGGGTGGAGGCAGGCGGGCATGCGAGGGGGGAGGACAGGGGGAGGAGGGGCAGGCCAGTGGGCGGGCCCCTAGCCACTCACAGCACAAACTTTTTCTCATTCCTCCTTCCAATCCGACCTCTTTTTTTCTTTTTCATATTTCAGAGATGAAAACAAACACGGCCCATCCCTCTTCCTCATCCCTCGCTCTCTCGCTCTGTCTCACTCTCTCTCTCCATCACGCCCCGTCCATTTTCTTCTCGGTAAATAACTCTTTTCCTGGCGTCTCCCACATCTCAACATAACCAAACACCATTTATAGATCTGTAAATATAATTTGACACCATCTCCTCTTCCTTTAGATTGGCTCGTATTTTCTTGCCTGATTAATAAAGATTAAAAATGGAGAACACATCACGGTTTTTTTTAATTACTATGAACCGTTTTCCTGTTTATGTTTAGGTTGAGTTTTAGGTTTTTTGAGGCCACAACCACACAGGATGTGTCTCTACCTAATGTCGGACAAAGGACCTGCCAGCAAGCCTCTCTTTCGTCCTGGGGAACAAGGTGCTCCCACAGTCCTGTCTAGAAGTGGTGTAAGACTCATCAAACCTCTGAAAACACATTTTTAGACCCCCATCGTCTGAGCTAAATAGGTCCAGAATTTACATCTCTTTCCATGAAAACCACACAAGCTAGATTCAAGTTTCCATCCTACAAATAAACAACTGCAGTTATGCAGTGCTCACCTCACATCCCGCCTGTATTTCCAGCCACCGAAGCATAAATCTATACACTAATATGCAGAGTACACACTGTGTAGCTACGCAAATACAGAACGGGCAATTATCCCGAGGATGCGGAATTTTACGTTCAATCAAAAAAATGTACCGCAGCAGAGGTCAGAGGCTGACTGGGGAAACCTTAACATAGTGGCAGCAGAAATGTGAGCTGTAGCGCCACCCGCAGGAGAAACAGTGAAGAGCAGGACAGAGGAGATATGAACATGTGCTCATTTCACATCTGTGGGCTTTTCCACAACCCTACAGTTATCATCTAAGATTATACCTCTGTTTCTATTGTATCACAATGGCTAATGTTCATTATTAAGCAGCAAACTTATTTGTGAGTCTGCAGTTTTCAAAGAAAATTGTATATGTAGTGTTAATATTTTATTTCATGTTAATGAAAGAAATGGTTTAATTATTTAAAAATGTATGTATATGTGTAAAGTAACTGTTTAAATAAAGACCCAATAAGAAAAGTGTGATGTTAATGATGTCACTGCTTCAGAATTCCCCCCCCCCCACCGCCCGAGTCAGCTGGGCGGAGTCAGTATGGCTCAGATACCCACTGTTTCCGCCAGTTCTGTGTCACCATCTCTCAGATTAGTAAAACGTGAATTAAAAGTGCTCGGTCAGCATGAGAAATGGCTGGCATTTCAGCGCAGACAGACAGACATACAGACAGACATACAGACAGACATACAGACAGACATACAGACACTGAGCTCTGCTCTGCTGATGGCGACAACAAGACGCCCCCTAAACCTCAGCCCAGCAATGCGAAGAGTTAAAAAATAAATTCATGCTCAATGGGAGGCATATTTCCTTGCAGCAGTATTTGGAGCCGGAAAAGAGGAAACGCTGGTCTGTTTTCGTCGCGGCTGGACCGCGACTCCCCTGCCTTCGTACCTCAGTCACACGCTCGTCTCCCTCGTCTGGCCACCTCGTCACCTCCTCGCCTATATCTCCGGTGCCTTGTTCTCCACCTTCCCGACCCCCTGCCTCTCCATCCCTCTGTCTGTCTGTCCGTCCATCTGTCCATCAGAAAGCTCATCGAGCTCCCCAGTAATTTTCATCCAATGGGAACGGACGGGCTAAATTTGCAAAGTGACTCCCACCACCTCACCCCCCCCCCCCCCCCCCCCCCCAAAGAGGGGGGGGGGGGGGGGGCACAGTTTTCTTTCTTAGCAAAGGCACAGAAACTTTCTTGTTGTTCATCTTTGTCTTTCTCTCTGGCACAGTCATAACACACACACACGCACACACACACACACACACCCTTTCCCAGTCCTATACGCACCTTATTTTTTCCTGCCTTTATCAGAGAAGCTCGCCTATCACACTCTGCCCCCCCCCCCCACAGCAGTGCTAATAACGGTTCAGCCTCCTCTCCGTCTCCCCCCTCCTTGGCTCTTGGGTGGACCCGCCGTTCCACGCTTCCAAACGCCAGCCCGCTGGCTCCTCGCTCCTCAGCTGCACGTCCCCTCTCACCTTCCCCTTAAGTGTTGCTGGACAGTCCCCCCCCACCAGGGCCCCCAGCCTTTAATTCAATCCTGGCCGCTACAACCCCCTGTTTGCTGGCGTTTTCGGTTACGCTGCACTGGGCTCTCGGGGCCCCAGATCCCAGCCGCTTCGTTTTCTTGGATACTTTGTGCACATTTTCTCAGTGCTGCTGCCCCCCCTCCCCCTCCCTGTCCAAGAAGGCTGAACTCTGCATAAAACCCCCAGTGGGCCGATAACTTTCCCCCCAAACTTATCCTGTCCCTCCCTCCCTTCCATGCCTGTTCTTTTTTCTTTTCTGTACCCTCTATATTCCTCTCTTTCCCTGCCCCCCCCTCCCCACCCCATTGTTCCTGTTAATGTTCCCTAACGTGTTGGGCTTCCTCATTTTCTCTCGGACCAAATGGCCGTAAGCACGCAGGATCGTGTCTTTCCCACCCCTGCGCTGCCAACGCCTCGGGGGTTCCGCATCCGTGGGGAGATAATGTACCTCTGTCCGGACACTAAACACCGAAGAGGGCTGCGATCATGTCCCATCCGCTACTCCTGTTTTTTAATTCAGGTTAAGTTGAACCCCATCCTGTCACTTCGGTCTGCGTACCTGCCTGTCTGTACTAACTTGGAAAAACAGGGGGGGGGGGGGGAATGCATATTGTTTAATCCTCCTAGAAATCCATGGCAGAATGCTGTATGATCCCAGGCCTCTCCACACCTTGAGGCAATTACACCCCCCCCCCCCGCTGCCGCAGTGCCCGACCCCAGGAGCGAGGAAGGAGAGACGGAGTGGGAATGCAGACAGGAAGAGAGAGGCCCTGCTCTGGAGTTTCTCCTACTCTGCACCTCACCGTGGCTCTCTGTGCGCTCCCCCCCCCCCCACCCCTGATGCCCAGTGACACCATCACCTCTGCACCCTTCCCTGTTTAGCGGCAGATGCCCCTGCAAAATGGCCGCCGCATTTAGCTGTGCGGACACATCTGCGACTCGGGGTGCAGTTACCGCGATGTGAACTGTAACTCGAGCCGGCAGAGCGTGACACCTTTGGCTGCATCCGTTTCCTGCGCTGGAATGTCTGGCCAGCGGTTCCTCTGAGAGCAAGGCGTGCATGCTTCGGGCGTGCTCAAACAGACCGCCAACGATGACAGACGTGCGGATCTCTCCCCCCCCCCCACCCGTTTCAGCTCTGTGAGTGCCCCCCAGGACTTCCTGATCAGGCAAAAAAACACACACAGACAAATACAAACACACTCATACCAGTCACCTGGACTGGAAGAAGGATTTTGGGGATGAGGCAGGACATCCACCCTCTCTGCCCTCATTGGCTAACTCCTTTCTCTTAATGTTAAAGGTTACGCTGCAGAAGCATTGTAAAATGTAAAATAGTTTAACACTTAAAAATGTCACTCTCCAGATTTAAAGAAAAACATAGGATACACACTCAGGACAAAGCTAGTCAAGTGCCTTCTCTAAAATGGGGGGAGCCAGTACTGACTGAAGCATGGTCGCTTCCCACTCCTCCGCAGCTGGGAGTTTGCCCCAGTCTCACCTCTGTTTTTCTGTGCTAGGTGTCCACCCTGACTGCTCCAGGGAACAGAACAGGACAAGTTCCCGGGAAAGGAATTCCACACTGCTTAATCTTCTGATGCATAATCACACCACTTGGCACTTCTATCTAAATGTAGTGATATTCACAGTGTTTTTTCAGGTAGTCGGGACTGTTGTTCTATTAACTGGGGTACCAGGCATGAAATGCACCACTCAAACAGACACACAATGCCCAGTGCAAAGGGGGGGGGGGGGGGGGTTGCAACTTGGGTTAGACATCAACAACAAAACAGCTACAAATTAAAATTCACATGCGTTGCGTTTATAACAGCGAAAAACGTCGAGTTGCTGATTCAACATAATAGCAAAACAGTACATCAAGCAAGTTTGGGGGAAAAAATGGGCAGAGAATAATTCAAACTTTCCATTTCAGTACCGACTACATTGCACTGGTTGCGTATTTAAATGGCCAACAGGGCATAATTGTTGTCCGTTTTGTATAAATAGCCTCCTGTCTGCAAACGGAAGGAATCTGATACCAACAGAATGAATATGCGAGGGCGGTCCCGAGATCTTGCCTAACAGAGTAACTAGAACTGCCCGTCTTCCCACTTCTCCGGCTCCACCTGCGGCCCACCTCGTTTTCGGGTTAAGCCACGCCCACCACGAGCGTACGCGTCCACGCCGGGTCGCATCGTCAGCCACGCCCCTCTCGATCTAGGACTAGATACGTTCCCGTGTTCCCGGACAAAGCCACGCCTCCTATGGTCCTAGGACGAAGCCAGCCACGCCCTCACCGCGATCCTTCACGGCGCCTTCATGCATTACGATTACATAGCGACGCCCATCCTCGGCACCCCATAATCTCTATTGCCAGAGCTAATTCCGTATGTTCGACTACTCTTTCTACTTATCGTGCATCAAGTCTCCTTTACAAGGTGCTCCACGCGCTCAGCCATTCTCCCACCATGCACACCCTCCTCAACTCAGGTCTCCTTCACGAAGTGTCCCATGTGCTCAGCCATTCTTTCAAATACTCCCTTTACAGACCTCCCATGTGCTTTCCTGCATACTACAAATAATATACATGGTTTCAAAGCGAAGCTTAAAATGTACGTATAATTACAAACAGACAAAACAGCAGTAAGGAAGATCTCATAAGTTCTCACTGACCTTCTCTGTCCCTTTCGCTGTTACACACTTCTCACCATCTCTTCAGCTTTTCCCATCTCATACCATCTTTTTTTCTTTGGTTTTCCTGAAACATTTGCCTTTTGCCATTTAGCAAAATGAAAAGAAAAGACGATTTGCCGCTGTTTTCGGTGGCAGCTTTGGGTACTTTACGTGCTGTGCTTTATCAGAAATGCGTCTCTGCACTTCCTTCGCTCCGTTGCAGATGTGACGAATGTGACAGGCTGGTATTAAACGGGTAGGCAGTAAGATCCGGTAGCCCAGTGAGCGTTTAAAATCAACACAGAAATTATTACAAAAGAACTACAGACGGTAGATTTCCTGCCATCCCGCCTGCCTCGGTGGATAATAGGCAAGCCGGAGGCTGTTACGTAAACTTTGCTTTCTTTAACATACTTTTAATGGGTGGTTTATTTTGATCTTGATTTACAGTATTTGCTTGTGATTGTACGCTGGCAACACAAGATTCTGCACAATTTTTATTGTTGTTTACACGTGTCACACTGGTTTGTGAGTCTTGTTATCTGTATTATCTCAATCTCAGGGCTGTGAGCTGCTAACTCTCCAACGCGAACGCCTGACATGCAGCGCCCATGTGTTGACGTGACCGGGGCATGGCGACGTGTTGATACGGAGGAACGCCAGCGCCTGCGTTTATGTACTGCACCTCACACGTTAATATAAAGTCTTTAACTGTCTGAACATCTGAAAATGTCGGGTAACTACGACAGTCACTAGCTTTTCACCGCAGGGTCGCCTTGCTGCTGCCTGCTTCTCCCGGAACACGGAAGCGGGCACCGGGCGCGGCATCTATAATAGCCGCCGGGGATTTTTCAATGCGGGTGTTTACAGTTGTGCATGTATTTTTCCCACTATTTTTCTAGGCAACAGTTTCTAAAAAATAACACGGGTCGAAAGGCTACAGCTTTACACGTGTAACATTGTTTTGACACAAGGATCTGATCAGAGATGGATTCCATGCATCTTTCCATTTAATCGATTCTTCTAAGTTCGTTAAAATAAATGTTTTACCGTCGGAGGGGGTGGAAAGGGAATTAAGACTATTTTTTACTTATTTATATGACTGGAACTATTTGGTTGTGGTGGTGAACGGCTTAGTCTAGTGAACTTGTGAACGATGAATCACTCCGTGGCCGTAAACCCCGAATCAGTGCAGTGACCAAGATCGTGTCGTTCCGTTGCCCCTGAGAATAGAGTATCCTTCACGAGTGTATGTGTTAAGGTGCTGCGCACACAACCACGAGTCACATACTGTTTGTATTTGTGTAGGTGGCTTAAATTACTCTAACAAATGACTCGAACATTTTGTCTTCTTGGTGCTGGAATTTAACCAGACAGATCTGCTGTAGAATTCGGTAGCCGTAATGAAAGCTAAATTTTTCAGCGCAATCCAAAATAACACATTTTGTCCTAGATTTTTGACTACGGCCTTAAATACCCTTCTGCATGTGTATCTACATTTTTCTGTTGCTGATAGAAACACACTGTTGAGTCCAGAGGTGATGTCACCGTATGTAACCTCATAGCCTAGGCTGGAGAAAACGGAGAAGATATAATCAAAGTTCATCAGGTTAATCCTAATGAAATAATTTAATTCCAACCTGTATTACTGGAATTTATAGCGTTCAGATTATTCATAAACATGTATACTGAAACTATCTATTTAGATGTCTAATCTTTACTTCAAAATGTCACACCAGGAAATACACCAGTAACTTCTTTCACTCTATTTTTTAATTTTTAGTATTCTGCAATTTTTCCATACTTTTTGAATACATGATTTCAGAATGTAACCATTTATGGTTAATTGTTAAGATTGTCATCTTCTCTAACTACGCTAGCAAAAACTTTCAGGGGACATACTTTCTCGCAATACGCTGTGCATAGATCATCCTGAGATCCAGCAATTAATTTTTGTCCTCTGTGTATTATGAGAATATTATGTTTTTGCTTGAATCTCTCCTACGATACTGTTAAGTCCTGTTATTCCTTAAAGATGACATTCTGTGTGTGGGTGCTTTTTACCATCCAAGTAACTATACAAGTAACTTTTTACCTTGTGGGGACATTTCTTCGGTCTGCACAAGGATAACCTCCATTTTATGAAAATCAGTGACTGTAATAAAAAAACGAACAATGTCAAGAGTCTTGTATTTTGTTTGGTCACTTACGGTTAAGGTTAGGGCTGGGTAGGGGTTAAGGGTGTCATAGTTACGATTAGGGTTTGTCCCAAAGAAATGCAGAGTCCCCACAAAGATATGAGTACATGGACTGAGTGTGTGTGTGTGTGTGTTTGTTTGAGTGTTGCAGGATGTCAGCGGGGTTGACAGCTATGCCTGACACGTTTTTAAGATCATTGTGATGAGTCCAACTCCCAAAAGTGAAGGTCCCACTGATGTTGGCGTTGTTGTCTAAGGCACATTACTGGGATATTGTACATATGTTGCTAAGGAATGCATTCTGTCTACCTGTCTGAGCTTAGGTAGACTTTTGAAGCTGGATTGGATGAACATGACCCCAAAAGTGTAGGCTGCGTGGAACTGTTTCAGGATGCTGTATCTCCTGTCTATCAAAGCCATTTTGGTTTTATTATTGACTGTTCTCATTTTTATGCAATGGACATTATTCTAGATAATAGGGAGTTTTATTTCTGAGGGGGGAGTTTGTGATATTTTTGTAAAACCTGTGTTTTAAGGCTCATTTCGTATGGAGCAGCTGATGACTGAGGGATTATGCATGCCAGATATATTGAAAATACTAGGGTATTTTTTCTTCAGAGTCACATTAGTAAAAATGCTTAAGAAAACTGAGTTGGCTTGACCTGAATTAAGTAAGTCACATTTCACGAAGCAAATAAAAATTATTTAAAAGAAAGGACCAATGCAGGGTTAATTGACTTTTATTTGTGAATCATTTACCTCATGCAACCAAGGAGATTTTACTCAAAATAATGTGAAGCCCTACTCTTTTTTCAGGATAGTTTTGACTAGACTTAGGAATATTCTGCATGTCTCCCTCCACCATATTTAGCAGTGATATGCTGTATAAGTTGATAATATAAAATAATTTGAAGTGGTTTTCTGTGGGTGGAGAAGTGATTAGCAGATGAAGGGATCTTTCCCTGTGGGTATAATGTGCACATGTGCTGTATTTTCATAGAATAGTTTGGCTTTGACACGACACATTGCAACTCTGCAATAGAAAGTCAGAAAAAGCTTCATCATGGTAAGACTGCAGATACTCACATGCTCAATAATATGCATGATACGCATGCCACGCAGGACGAGCATGATACGCATGCCACGCAGGACGAGCATGATACGCATGCTACGCAGGATGAGCATGATACGCATGCTACGCAGGACGAGCATGATACGCATGCTACGCAGGACGAGCATGATACGCATGCTACGCAGGACGAGCATGATACACATGCTAAATCTGAGATATTAGAATAGAATGCAACCATCGTAGTTGTGCTAGTTTCATTTTCTCATTTTATTGTCTCTGAAAAAAGTTTAGATTAGAGGAAATATTTATTTTTCGTCAATGTCAACTGGTTTTGATTGTGGTGGTGTTAGACATGCAGTTTTACTCTATCAAACTCCGAGGATTCTGTGCCCAGCCCCCACGTATCTCTCTGTCACACACTCAGACACATAAGGCCGCTGCTGCCAGTGAAAGGTCTGCCTGCTGAAATGTAACACATAGAGTTCACCTTCATGTAAATGAGGAATGCTGGAGAATCGTCCCTCAGCAGCACTAACCCTTATTTTCTTTTATCCACAGATTTGTGGCTTTTATTTTTTTGAAGCTCCCTTTTTTTTGCATTCCATTTTAAACCACATCCACCAGAATGTCTCTAACGTTTTGCACAGAATCTCTATGGACATAACAATATTGTGTGTGTGTGTGTGTGTGTGTGTGTGTTTGATGATGATATATCTGTGTATAGTAATTATGTAAACTAGACTACCAGAGTAAGTATTGTTAGTGTGTGTGTGCGTTGGTGGGTAGGAAAGTTTTTTTTGTAAAAGTGTGTGTGTATGTATATCTGTGTATGTGTGTGTGTGTGTGTGTGTGTGTGAGAGAGAGAGAGAGAGAGAGAATATTTGCGTTGGCACTGTGTGTGTGTGTGTCCTGTGGTTGGATCATTATATGAACTCATCCTCTAGAGGCAGTAGAGAGCTGTTTGATGTAGGCCTTGGGATGAACTGCAGTTGTAAAATACTGCCGGATTCAACAGTGAAATTCCAACACTATGAGGGGTTAGGAAACTGTTTATGCCCATAGTTCATCTCATTTTACAAGCTAAAGTTGTAATTTTGTACAATATTTCAATTAAACTGTGTTTTGTGCTATGATTTGATTTGCACATTTAATTACAATATATTGACAAATATTTCAGTAATTAATGTGTAAACAAAGCATTTTTGCCTGATATAGTATGAAAGCAAAGAATCTTGTTTTGTTTTCGGTGAGTTGCATAACTCATGCGTTGACCTCAAGGTTCCCCTACAGGGACAACCAAGGGGAAAGTGTAGCTATAGTGTAATGGTTTTACATGACAGCATAGAAGGACTGCGGTTAGGATTAGCATCAGAATCAAGGCTTCCAACTATTAAAACCGGTTTCAACGTAGCAATTACAATATACATGTGGAACGGTTAAAAAAACAAAAGCTGGTTCTTAACTTTTCTCCGGTCGATTTGACTGAAGTTTCTCAAGTCGCCAAAGCATGCAAGCATACGTCATAGATCGAGATTTTTTCCGTTTTAAGATCAGATAAATCGTCCCCGTTTCAGTACATAAATTACACATTCAGATTTCTGCTTATCATCTCAGAGTGACTATCAGTGCATCACCACTGCATAGACTGAGCAGTTAGAAATGTTAGGGCCCATTGCTGACAGCCTATTACACATTGTTTATGTTCTCTGGAAAATGCTAAAGAACTTCTACAAGCAAAAACCAAGAGTTAAATGTGTAATCTGATCAATACTGATCTTAAGCTCTCTCAGAATCCACACAGTGGACTGGCTGGTAAACATGTCCTATAACTTTATACCCGGATTAGGGTGAGATCCTACATCCACAGAATGACTATACCAGAATATCCCTTTATTATGGATGTTTTTGGTCCGGATGCAGGTAATGTGTCTGTCTGGAAGGCATGTAGCGCAGCATAGCAGCGTCTCCATGGCGACCCCTAACCCGCTGCTCAGGTGACCGTTCAGGTGCATCCGGCTGGGCTGGGAACATTTATTTGTCACAGTGTATTGGTGACCCGTGCCGGCAGCCTCGCCTCGCCTCCTGTGACACCTGCCCCTGCTCCCAGCAGCCCCATCGCAGACACGCTTCACTCTCTCCACCAGAGACGCAGGAGACATTTGAGGGGCTTGGTCCTGATGTTATCGCATGGTCGCCGTGGCGATAATGCCCTCCTGGCTATGTTGGCTATGTTGCTCTAAAGAGCCCAGAAAACGACGCAGATTGGCTGATAACAGCTCCTGAGAACCGTCCAGTCAACTCTTTTCTTGGGTATCTGCCCCACCCTCAGACTTTCCATCTTTCCCACACACATATCAAGGCATGTAAATGTTTTTTTGCCTTCATAGATGGAGGCACTGAGAGTACATATACTGAGGCAACAGAGTGTAACACTGCAGGCCGGCCTCACGCATGTCTACAGGTGTAGCGGCATGCCTGTCATCATACTTGTTCAGACAGTCACTGCCCCCACTCCCCACCCCCATCCTGTCCCTCGCCTGCCTTTGTGCCAAACAGGTATTTCTGTCAGCATAGCAACCCTGGGCGGTGGCTGCAACCTATCAGCATAGCTCTTTCTGCCCATGTTGTGGTGCAGCTCCAGCCAATCGGCAGGGCTGTCTTTTCCCGTGCTGTGAGGTGGCTCCAGCCAATCAGCATGGCTCTCTCTTCTCATGCCTTTTGTTGGGCCGCAGCTTTATAAGCTTTATAAGCTCAGGAATACAGCTTTTCATTCGACCTCCTTTGATGCGCGCGCGCCTTGCCCCAAACCTCGACCTGCCTCCAAACCTCAGTGCTGCCTTATGTAAAAGCATAGAGGCTGGCAGGAAAGCAGCCAGAATGAGAGGGTGGGACTGCATGATGCATGGCATTGCCTGATTGGTTCCTGCTGTTTTAGCTGCATTAAAGCACCCCTGTCCATAAATATGGAGTACCGCCATGCAGGCATGGTCAGCAGAAGCCAAATGCAGCTCAAGAGGGGGGACAGATTTAGATACGGAATGACTGCAAATAAGTAGCTTCCATGGGTCCTGTGCCCTGCAGGCATCTCTGAGGACAGCTACTGGGCAGGGGTCATACACAGAGGGGACCATCAGGTGAGCCTCATGAGCAATGCTGACAATCCCCAGTGCATCCCTCCTCACTCAGGTTTGACTTTTCTTTACCGTTTGTCTTGAAGATACAGAAGAGTGTGAGTTCACGTGCGCTAGGTGGTGCCATGCATCTGCGGCCAGGTCCCTGCACATGCGCATCTAGACGGGCGTCTATCCGTCTGCCCATCCATCCGGCTGTGACATTTCCAGGTAGGGTGTACTCGAGGTTCTGCTGCACCGCAAGTTATCCCCCATGGGGCCCCTGCTCGTGCTTTCCGAATACCTTTGGGATTAAGCTCCGTGGGGGGTTGGGAGGGGGGGGG